TCTTTCTCTCTCTCTTTCTCTGTCTCTATTTCTTTTTCCTCTCTTTCTCTCTCTATCACTCTATCCTTTTCTTCTCCTTTTTCTTTCTCTCTCTCCCGCTCTCTCTCCCGCTCTCTCTCTATCTAATTTTCTGTATTAGTTATTAGCTTATAAATCTACTTAAGTTTTCCTTCTTTATCTATAAATTCATATTTCATATATTTAATACTCTATATTTTTCTTTCTTTTTCTTCTTCTTTCTTTTTGTTTTTCTCCTCTTATCAAAATATATTTTTATTTTTACAAGTTTGATTTGCATATATATTCTTGATAATGATCGTTTAACTGATCGAAACGTCGAAATAAATAAAATATATTTATTCACAAACATAATTTTAATAAGATTTTTAAATATTTTATTGAACGATAATTATGTTTAAAAACGCCGCTGTCGTTTATTTATCTTTAATTAAACTTTTGCCCTTGAATATATTAAATGTTTAAAATCAATACTAAAACTACTCCTATGGATAATATGACATACAACGAACGATTTGGTGTATGTATATAACAACAACAAAAAAAAACAAAATAGAACGATATACTTTTGATTTCATTGATTAAAAATGATTTTTCATTTTAGAATGTTTGTAAACATGCTAATTATATACACGTGATTATATTGCTGATCTTGATAATAATTTATGGTGTCGTTTAACAATAATATTTCCTGCTACATAACCTCGTATTCATCTTGAAACATTAATTCATAGTGAAGCATCTCGAACATCGATAATATCAATTGTTGGTATTCAAAATTGTTTTATAACAGAAAATAAAGAATTTCGTTCAAAAATAAAAACTGGTTCTAATGATATTGAATATATTTCTTCTACCAAAGATGAAAACATCAATGTATTAGTGACATATTATCAAATATTTGATTTGCGTCGAATATATACAAATAGTATTCATCGTATGGTACAAATATTTGGTATGTGAAGCAGCTAATCGTACATTAATACGTGAAATAAATCAAATATTTCGTACTTATGGAATTAATTGAAGTTAATTATAAATATTTATCTTTATTAGTTGATTATATGACATATGAAGGTGTTTATAAGCTATGTAATCGCTTTGGTTTAAAAATAAATCTAAGTCCTTTTACAAAAAAATAACATTTAAAACATCAACAACATCTTTAAAAGAAGTATTATTATACGATGAACATGAACAATTAAAATCTTCATAATCTCATTTAGTTATTGGACGTATGATTCAATACGGTACTGGTGTTTTTCATAGATATTATTGATTTATTTCGTGTAGAACAATATGTAAGTTCTTTTTGTGAAATTATATGAATTTCAGTCTCAATCGGATTTCTGATTTTGACCTCTTAATACTTAATATTTGACATTGTTGTTTGATTCTTTTTTTTATTAAAAATAATTCTTTCACTTTGTGATCAAGCAAATAATGATCGTTTAAAAAATAATATATTAACATATATAAATAGATTTATTGAGACATTTTATGAAAATGTTTATATGAAAATTCATCTTCAAGATGAATTTGCTGTACTTCTTTGTGCTGATCATCAAAAAACACATATGTTAGTAGCACGATTTTCAAATAGACATTTTTATCTTCATGCAATGTTTAATTTTAATAGTATTCATTCTTTAAAGTTTGAATATATTCTTGAAAAGCTGTCAAAACTAGTTTTGATGACAAACAAAAAATCAAGTCTGTGGGAGCCTGGACATGAGGGTATCCTCATTGTCTCAAATTATTTTTTCAATAAATGAATACCAAAAAAATAAGTAAATATACAGGATGATAGAAAACTCCACGGACTTTCAGAATATGTAATTAGTTTTAAATAAATGTGTTTTTACAGTGACAATAAATGAGAAATATAGAGCAAAACTCTTTTTTTTCTCTATATATATAGAGAGAGAGAGAAAACAGAAAAAACGAAAAAGATAATCGGAGTACATTCTTTCACATAAACTTAGTTTAAACATAAAGTGGAGCAAATGACGTCGGTCAGACATCTTCTTTTCCAACTGCGAAATAAGAAGAGAAAGAGATAGAACGAAAAATCAAATATGAATTTCGAGGTTTTTATTATGAAGGAAAGAAATGTTCGACATGTGTACGAAACTGAAAATAGATAGATATTGCACAAGAAATAAAGAAGAGAAGAAAATAAAAGGACCTATATATATGCGTAGAGAGAGATAGCACATATTGTTAGTACACAAATATACGTTAAGAGAATGTTACAGCCCAATCATTTAATCGTCGATGACGCTATTAAAAATGATAATAGTATTATTGCATTATCATTTCAAAAAATGAAACAATTAAATTTATATACAGGTGCGATAGTTATACTTCGAGGTCGTCAAGAAACAGTTTGCGCCGTTGACGTTGGTTTATGTCCAACTAATCGTATTCGATGGATCGTGGTGTACGAAATAATTTACGTATACGGTTAGGTGATATTGTTTCAATTGAAGGCTGTCAAGATGTTAAAGATGGTGAACGTATACATGTTTTACCTGTTGATGATACTGTACATGGAATAACAGGCAATCTATTGGAAGTTTATTTAAAACCATATTTTGTTAGTAAACCTTATCGACCAGTACATAAAGGTGATGTTTTTATTGTACGTGCAGCTATGCATGCTGTAGAATTTAAAGTCATTGAAACTGAACCAAGTCCTTACTGTATTGTTACACCAAATACAGCTATACATTGTGGAGATAGTCCAATTAAACGTGAAGAAGAAGAAATATCTTTAAATGAAATTGGTTATGATGATGGAAGAAATGTGTTTTGAGCACCGAATTGATTATATGTGAAAAGAGCACCGAAAAAAGAGTGAAATGAGCACCAAATTGATTATATGTGAAAAGAGCACCGAAAAAAGAGTGAAATGAGCACCAACTGAAAAGAACAGTACAAAATATACCAATTAAGCTTTAAACGAATTAAGATTATAGTTAAT